TAGCACCGTGATTTTTCTTAAGGTATCATTTACTCCGTATGGCTGGTTGGGGCTGACCACACTCCTTGGTCCAAAGATGGATGCACGAACCAACCTTAGCTAATTAAAATATTGTGTCTTCCTGTTGATAGTTATTGGTTCAGGAATGGGCATGTTAGCCAAGCCCAGCCAATCATAATAAATCCAGTACTTTAGTTTTAAGAGTTAGAAAGGAGGTGTGCTCTTTCCATAGGATTTGCTGAGAAGATGGGTTGGACATCTGGAGCTGCTGGCTGCCATCTTGCCTTTCTGCTGTCAGGAGGGGAGAGCCTCCTGAAACCTGAGCCAGTGGAGAGAAAAGTAGAACTGAGGGACAGGGAGGGCAATGCGGGTCTTGGGGACATATCTGAGCCTCTGGATCCAGTCACACCCAAAGCTAGACTACTTTCTGAATGTGACCCAAGAAACCCCTTGTTGCTTAAGTTAGTTTAAGTTGGTTTTCTGTCATAGGCAACCAGAAACATCTTGTCTAATAGCACAATCATTGAAAGAATCGACACTAATGGATCAAAGAGGGCATTCCTGTGAATGCTGGCTTCCAAAAGCCTGAATTCCTGCAGTGACCTTTCCTGGACTGTGAGGCTCTCCTTTAGGGTCCTCATTCATGCAGAAAGTCAAGATCAAGTGAGCTTTTGCCTAGTTGTTTCTTTGATCAATTGGTTCTAGCAGAGTCCAGTTAAACGTCTCAGAAAAGCCTCCCCTAATAGACCCTGGCCTTTGCCTGTGCCTGGTCCATCCTGCTAGTAAATAGGCCATCTTAACTACAGGATTCTCTCTGACAACTGGTAACTTTTTGCTCCATTCTTTTTTTTTTTTTAAAGTAGGTGATGAGTCTTTATTTATTTTTAAAAATCATAGACCTGTTTATTTTCACTAACATTTTGTGACTCTAGACCTAGAACATTTACTTCTTTTTTAAAAATTAATTAATTTATTTATTTTGGCTGCGTTGGGTCTTCGTTGCAGCGCGCGGGCTTTTCATTGCAGTGGCTTCTCTTGTTGCAGAGTATGGGCTCTAGGCGTGCAGGCTTCAGTAGTTGTGGCATGCAGGCTCAGGAGTTGTGGCTCGTGGGCTCTAGAGCTCAGGCTCAGTAGTTGTGGCACACAGGCTTAGTTGCTCCGCAACATGTGGGATCTTTCCGGACCGGGGCTAGAACCCGTGTCCCCTACATTAGCAGGAGGATTCTTAACCACTGGCCCACCAGGGAAGTCCCTTTTGCTCCATTCTTAAAACACCCTACCTCCTGGTTTCCTCTCAAGCATTTTATTTTCTTTCCCAAATTTCCAAGGTTAGTTTAATATGAAAAATAGCTTAGATTTGTTTAACCTTTCTGTGCCTCAGTTTGACATCCACAAATAAGAAATCTGTACTAGTTGATAATAATGCTGTACATTTATATCTAGAGTGTTTTTATGCTTACCATCTAGTTTAATCTTCCCAGTAATCATTTGGGTTATATATTTTCTCCAAGGTCTTGTAAATTCCTAATGCTATGTTTCTGTATTTAGAAATAGGAGAAATACGTATTTTAATTCTTTCTAAAGCACATGGACACTTGCAAAGGAATGTAAAATTATGATGATTAGGATGAATATGTAGATCAAGATAAAAATCTTGAGGATCAAAATAAATTATCATTTTAACCATCATGCAAAAACAATTCAATGGACATTAGAAATGGAGAACAAGTGGTACTTGCAGTCCAAATAGAGTCATTACGATGATTCCCCGGCCCTATCAATGGTGCTGGTCTCTTTTCTTTTACAAGGCAGATCTTCAGATACTTTGCATTAATTAATGACAGGAGTGGAGAGGAAGTTTAAAGCTTACTCAGTGATCTAAAAGCAAACTCACAGAAAAACCTCTTCTATTAATTTTCAAAATTGAGAAGGTTGCCAGATATCCATGAAACTGCCACTGCAGAATATATTGGGTTGGTCAAAAAGTTCCTTTGTTTTTTAAGTAAAAATAAAAGACACATTTTTCATTTTCACCAAGATCTTTATTGGACAACATATTCACCCTTTTATTCCTTTACCTTCTGCCATTTTTCACGTAACTTCATAATTCCATCTTCCCCAAACTTTTTATCTTTTTGAGCATAGAACTGTTCCGGGTGCCTTTTACAGTCTTCCAGGGAATTGAAATTTTTTCCATTAAGAGAATTTTGTAAAGACCAAAATAAATGGAAATCCGAAGGTACAATGTCTGGTGAATACAGTGGATGAATCAGAACTTCCCAGCCCAGCTGTAACAGTTTTTGCCTGGTCATCAAAGAAACATGTGGTCTTGCATTATCCTGATGGAAGATTATACGTTTTCTGTTGACTAATTCCTGATGCTTTTTGTCGAGTGCCACTTTCAGTTGGTCTAACTGGGAGCAGTACTTGTTGAAATTAATCATTTGGTTTTCCAGAAGGAGCTCATAATAGAGGGCTCCCTCCCAATCCCACCATATACACAGCATCACCTTCTTTGGATGAAGACCGGCCTTTGGTGTGGTTGTTTGTGGTTCATTTCACCTGCCCCACGATGTCTTCTGTTCCACATTATTGTACAGTATCCATTTTTTTTCATTGCCCGTCACGATTTGTTTTAAAAATGGAACATTTTCGTTACATTTAAGTAGAGAATTGCACACGGAAATACGGTCAAGAGGTTTTTTTCGCTTAACTTATGTGGGACCCAAACATCAAAGCGATTAACAACCAAGCTGGTGCAAATGATTTTCAACGCTTGATTTGGATATTTTGAGTATGTGGACTATCTCCCGCGTGGTATAACATTGATTGCTCTCAGTTAGTGTCTCGATTTGATTGCTATCAACTTCAACTGGTTTACCCGACTGTGGAGCATCGTCCAGCGAGAAATCTCCAGCACGAAACTTCGCAAACCACTTTTGACACGTTTGATCAGTCACAGCACCTTCTCCATACACTGCACAAATCTTTTTTTTGCATTTCAGTTACGTTTTTGCCTTTCTTGAAATAATAAAGCATAATATGCCGAAAATGCTGCTTTTTTCCTTCCATCTTCAATATTAAAATGGCTACACAAAATTTCACCAATTTCGGTAAGTATTTTTTAAATGCACACTGATATGACAGCTGTCACAATACAACCTAACAAAATTGTTTTGAATGAGGACTAAAGACAACTAAGCGCTACTAGAGCCATCTTACGGAAAAAACCGAACGAACGTTTTTGCCAACCCAATATTACAAAAGGCTGAGAAGTGCACAGCAGGAAATTACTGTTTATGGAGACTGAGCAGTCTGCTGGGGTAGGGATGAGTACCTTGGTCTGGAGGAGGTCCTGGACAGGGGGGCCCAGGCTTAGCAGGCATCTAGAAGCCGAAGCAAGGAGTAGGCAACCTTCACCAAGCTGTGCTTTGAGGGCAGCAAGGTGAGCGTCCTGGCTCCTGCGTCATCTCATTATTTGCCATAATTCCTGAGATTCCACTTTCAGTCATCTTTTTCTTTGGGTCTTGAAGAGGTTTCAGCCTCAGAGGTTATTTTGGAGGAGCACCCCAAACCATTATTTTTGAGGATTAGGAGACATTGAGCTAAAAATAAAGCCTTATAGGGATAGGATTGAAGCTAGATATTCTCATACTAGTATTAAAAACAAGACAACAGGCCCAAAATAGAGTCACTTATGCTAAGCCCCATGTCACCAAACGGAGACATGGTTTCGGTTCTTCCAGAAATGGAATCTTAAACCAATCAATCAGGATTTGCCTGATCAGCACTGCTTAGGTAGTCTGCCTTCTAGACCCCTGCCATCTCCTATAGGAAAGTGACCTTGTAATAACCAACCCACTTTTTTGCCTGGTGTAACAGCCTTTTTCCTGCCCCCTTCTGCCTACACAAGTCTTTCACTTGTATGGCCCCTTGAAGCTCCTTTCTCTTTGCTAGATTGGATGCTGCCCAATTCATGAATTGTTGAGTAAAGCAGTAAGATCTTTAAAATTTACTCAGTTGAATTTTGTTTTTTAACAGTAGAGAAAGAGGAGGGCTGAACTGTATTGGGGGAAGAGAAAGAAGGTCACAGGTGGCAACTTTAGACACGATCTCACTTCACAAACCTGCTTAGAACTGACTTCAGGGAAAAACGAACCATAGTTTTGCCAAAAAGTTATAAGAAAAACTCCGTAGAAGTTTTTCTTTTTTCTGTAATTTTTTGGAGGGGCTCTTTTTACTTTTCTAAATTTGTCCATACTCTTCTCTTTAAGTTACTTGGAAACTGTAGCGCCTGCCTTCAGCAAATATACTTAAACTTCCCCACATTCACACGTTTCTCCAAAATCAGATACATTATCAGATTTAATAAAATTATTCAAGAACTGTGTATGATTTACTGCAGGCCTCAGCCCCTTTATTTAAAGCTCATAGTACATAGGGACAGATTGTTATGTTAAAACAACTGAACAGACACTGGCTTGTATACTAAACAAGGCAGTTTGATCAAAATATAATCTTAGAGAACAGTTTTGATAAAATTTATCTTAAGGCTTGCTTGTCTCAGAATAGTCTAACACAGTGCCTACACATGGTATATACTCAACAAATACTTGTTAAGATGCATTTCATTATGATAGTCATAATTAAATAATAAACAACTGTATAATTAAAATAGTAAACTACTCTTCAAGTTGGAAGGAAAGACAGAGGATAGTTTCACAACTACTGGAAAATTTGCTGTGGTATAAAAGCAAGGTGCAATGCAAATTACCTCAAAACACACATACACACACACCATATTTAAATCAGAAACTACAGTCTCTTTAATTTCTCACTCTCTTGGACATATTAATTATGTCTGAAAATTTGAAAAGGCTACCATTGTAAGATACTAATAATTGAGAGTTCTTATGAAAGTAACTTCAGGACCACATCACAAAAAGATCAGAACAGTGACTTCTCTTCTAAATATTGATGATTTTTAAAAATGCGCTTACCCCATTTCGACTGTTGACCCCAGAAATGAGGGTATGCAGTAGTCAGCAGCTGCCAGTGTATACGGTGGTCGAGCAGCAGAATCGTCCCAGTAAATGTCCTTCTTCATTTTGGGTAAGCTCATGTGCATTTCATCCACGGCTAAAAGGGAGACCTAAAATCATTATTATAGTGTTAGAATAATTCAGATGTGAATTGTATTTATAAAGAAAGAATAAGTTTAGTGGGTGCTGGGGTTTGGAATGGGATAGAGCACAGTGTGAATGAGTGAATATACAAATGTCTCTAGTTCATATTTGCTTCAACCAGTGCTGCTACAGAGAGTTATACATGTCGTTCACTGCATAAGAGCACTTGGCAATGGGGATAAGTGGAGCCATAAAACTGCCCAGACTAGATTCATCAAGCCGCATACCCCAGAGTGGAGTGCATCTTATCTGGAGGCAGGAGAGACACCTTTTTCTTCTTTGCTCAAAGTTTTCTAATTGTCTAGTGGCTCTCCTGACAGCAACCACATAACCCCAGATATTGCAGGAAGCCGAAGATTTCAATATCCCATTTCATTGATTCCATAAACATATTTATACTTGATATCATTTCTTATGTGCCCTGAATTTTTGTTTGTTTGTTTAGAAAAATATATCAACAAGCCTATACTGTTCAGGGTTATAGTGGTCTTCTCCTTTTGACTTTGACAAACTGATGCATGAATAAATTATTAATCCTCTGGAAATCTAATTTTTACAAAGAGTGAGTGGTGTAGGCATTACACTTCCTCCTCAACAGGCTGACAATGTGATTGTTAGAGCTCAATACAGAGGTCGTGACCTGCCAGTTGACCTGTGAGCTGGACAAGAGTAATCAGAGGCTCCTCTCCCCTGTCCTTGGAATGTACATTCTGCCCACTGTTCCCACAGTGGGAGCTGTTTCAAGGACACAACCTTGAGAGAGTAATGTGCTGTTGAGACCATCTGGACTGAATACATGACTGAACCCCAGTAAGGCCTCTATATCAAATTTAAGGATTCTGGCAGGTAGGTGTGGAGGTCTACTCATCTTGTATCCACTGAAGACAAGCCTCTTAATTAAGTTCCTAGCTTGTTAAACCTGCCATCTACCAATCTGCCATCTACCAATCTGGAGCGGTCTGCCTTGCCCTCTGCGTACTAGGGCCAGTTTGTGAACCAACAGCAAAATGTTTTAACTTGTGTAAAAACTGAGTAAGGGCTTGAAACAGATGAGCAAGTTGAAGCCCTTTTCTCAGCCTGTAGTTCTCAGGGAAGAGAATGGGTTGAGGAGTCTTGCCTAAAAGCAAAATTCTCTCATGCTGCGTCTTCATGAAAAATCTCTCTGAAATAGTGCTTCAGGGTAAAGGCTCTGGGGTCCATTTGGTGTGATTGAGGGAGATTTGAGACACAGGCTGGTGTGACCCATGTTTCCAGTGTCCAACTGCTGGACATCTGACTGCAGGGACCTACATGATGTGAGTTGGGAACTGTGTGGCTGCCACTTTATGTCATTGTTAATTTTTTAAGGTGGCAATAGGAAACAGATTAAAGAATGAATTAAAATATTGATCTGTACTGAGATGGAAGTGGCTATATAAAGTTAGTAAAGAAACCTACAAAGAAAACTGGCTTGAAATTGTATTTAAAAGGGACTAAACTGGGCTTCCCTGGTGGCGCAGTTGGTGAGAGTCCGCCTGCCAATGCAGGGGACATGGG